TGAAAATGGATTGAAGGCTTCAATTTCTTCGGTGGATGGAACGTAAAACTCATTTGGGGAAGACATTATAAATTTATGATAAAATAATAAATAATTAAAATGAAAAGAAATTAAATAATAATATGAAATTATGATGATATTGAAAAATAGAAAAAAATTTGAATAATATAAATAAATAATATAAATAAATAATAAATATAAATTGAATGAGAAATTGATTGGAGATTTGGAGTAGAGAGATTAAGAGAATGAAAGAATGAGAGATTGACAGATTGGTGTGAAAAAAATTAAAGGTTTTAGGGTTATTTATAGTGTAGTTGTGGGGGGGAAAATGAAAAAAATTATATTATATAAATAATCAATGTAACCGTTGGCAGTTACCATTGGCTGCCAACGGTTATTTTTATTTTTATTTTTTTATAAATTTTATAAAATTTCATTTTAGTCCTTGAATTTATACTTATTTTAAGGGTTTAATGTAATTTTACAAAAGATTAAATTGATAAAAGACAAAAAACATTTGGGCCCAGGCCCGGGCCTTGGAGAAGGGCCCGGGCCCTCCTCCTTAGGCCTGGTCCCGCTAGGACCGGTCCGGTCCTAGGACCGGTTTTTGGAGTTGGGCTTTTGGGCCCGGTCCCAAATGCCCAGCTCTAATGTCAAGTGACTGATAACCACCTTGGCTGTTAATTAACCGCAATGTTAGTTGTTAGTAGATGACAACATTTATGGTTAGCTGGTAATGATCATATACCAAGTTAAATTCTTCAATTCCATGGAATCAAATCCCTAGAAGTCTGCAAAATGGAAATGACAGGACTGAGTTTCGCAATAGAGTAGCTGAATTAAATTTCAAAACTATAACGAAGTTTGCATTTAATGATAAGAAACATTCCACAACAATTTTGAAACAGTACTTACACTGGAGAACTTGTAAGAACTATTCTTCTATTCCACATTGTCTCTTGTTCGGCCTTCTTCCCTTTTGACGGTGTCCCCCTACAACAATCCTTACAAGCCATTAAGACTTTCATGTTGAGAACACAAGATATCCTATGATCACTCCAAACACCATCCCACATCCATAGCCTATCAACATCAATTTCCAATCAACGCAGCTGCCAAGTGCCAAGGTCTTGTTCTACTTGCAAAATCAACGCATTGTTCACGAGAGTCCTTCCTTCTACTTCAGCTTTTTGTTCCGTTTTTCAGTAAAAAGTAGAGAGCAAATACTACTAAATTTCAACCTTAATTTGTTTTCTTACAGAAAGAAAAAGAGCTTAGTTTTTAAAAGCAATGGATTGCATGCTGTACAAGGCTGCAAGAGAAGGAGACGTGGAGTTCTTGAAACAGTTTATCCAAAGTGATAATCACAACCATCTTCTCTTGCATACAAATCAGGAGAACAATATTCTTCACATAGCTGCAAAATTGGGTNACATTTGGTTTTGAAAATGAATGTTATGTTGTGGCCAGCTTCATTGAAGAGTATAAGATAATACTTCATTCATGACAAGTAAATAATATCTAATATAAATGATATAATACGTTTGTCCGTGATGGTAACTGGATGTAATTAACATCAAAAGACTTTTCCTATCCAAATAGATGTGTGCATAGAATGGAGAAAATAATATCCGTAGAATCATTTGATTTTTTTTTCATAAATGTAGATTTTGGTACAAGTCAAGGCCCTACTAAAAGGGTGCCAGGAAGAAAAGTTTTCCTCTTATCCAAGTTAATTAAATTTTATTCTGGTGAACCATTATGGAAATTTTGTTATTTTACAAATTATATATGTAACAGATTTCTATCGGTTTGAGACTCGATAAACTTGATGTATTATAGGCACCCTTTCACTAGAGGAAACTTGATGAAAATGATGTTTAACAACCATTTACAACCAGAGTTGGATTCTTTTAATTATTTATTAAACATTTAAGAGTCCTCTCCTGTCAGAATCTCACTAGATGCATCGAACCAATGGAAGCATTTGGTTAATCTGTGAAAAACTACACTAAATTGCAGCTGCCAACTGCCAAGGTCTTGTTCTACTTGCAAAATCAACGCACTGTTCACGAGAGTCCTTCCTTCTACTTCAACTTTTTGTTCCCTTTTTCAGTTAAAAGTAGAGAGCAAATACTACTAAATTTCAACCTTAATTTGTTTTCTTACAGAAAGAAAAAGAGCTTAGTTTTTAAAAGCAATGGATTGCATGCTGTACAAGGCTGCAAGAGAAGGAGACGTGGAGTTCTTGAAACAGTTTATCCAAAGTGATAATCACAACCATCTTCTCTTGCATACAAATCAGGAGAACAATATTCTTCACATAGCTGCAAAATTGGGTCATGAACCATTTATTCATGAGGCTCTCCAAACATCTCCCTTCCTTGCAAGTCATATAAACTCAAAGGGTGACACTCCCTTACATGTCGCGGCGAGAGCTGGCCATATTGCTGTGGTAAAACTTCTCCTTAATGACAAAATAAGAAGAGATATGTTTAGAATTGACGCAATTGAAACTCCGGGTACAACTGTTTTGAGAGAAATGGAAGAGGGAGAGAGTGGAGTTCCAAAGCTGTGGAGGATGAAAAATAAGGTTCAAAGCTTGGCTTTGCATGAGGCTTTGAGGAATGGACACGAGGACGTTGCACTTTATTTGTGGGAACTAGACCGAGAAATGGCTGGAGTTGTAACTAGTTTAGGTGAGAGCCCTCTATATTTAGCTTCTGAATCAAGGTGTGAGGCAGTAGTGCCGAGGATTTTAATGTTCTTAAAACTAAATTCAGAGAGAGTCGATCTCTTGCGTGATGCTGTTAGAGGCCCAGATGGGCAGAATCCCCTGCATGCCGCAGTCCTTGCAGGAAGCACTGGTATGAATATCATACTCGTTTTTGTTTAAAAATATCTTAACAATCTGTCACACATTTATAATCTAAAGTTATTAGTTGCAATGTATGACAAGTCACAACATCTTCTATCTATAGAATAAATAAATAAAATCCAAGTTAAAATGAACTCATACAGTAAAAATAGGTGAAAAGACAAAAAATAAAAGAATTGTATGTATTCCATTCATCTAAAATAAACAATATTTGGTCAAACAAATGAGTTATTCCAATTTGTGGTGTGTGAAGGATATACATATATAGCCTTAAAAAACCCAAAAGACAAGATCAGTTTGAACTGGATAATCCAAACGACTTAAATATGGGGACAGGTTGATTGATTAAGGGAAGGGAGATCTGACTTATATATGATAGTTTGAGCTATCTTAGAAGCCTTTTTAAACTATCAGGAAATTGGCATTGGAATTATATATGTTCTCTCTTTATTGTCTTGCAATAGAATGCATTGGTTATCTGCTAGAAGATGAAGATATTTTGAAACTCATTAATCAACCTGACGTTAGTGGAAAGACTGCCCTTCACTTTGCAACAGCAGCCAGAGAGACAAATATTATACGTGAGTTGCTTAAGAGAAGTACCTCATCTGCATATCTGCGAGACAGAAATGGCCGGACGCCATTACTGGAAGCTGCCAGCTCAGGAAACTTTGATGTCTTTCAGGAGATACTCCAACTCTGTCCAGACGCTATCGAGCTCTGTGACCCGACTGGCCAGAACGCGCTTCATCTTGCTGTGCTCAACAACACGATGCAAAATGTTAGGGAATTCTTGCATTTGCTAGAGATGAAGGAGCTTGTGAATGAACCTGACGAGGAAGGCAACACACCCTTGCATTTAGCTGTCAAGAACGAGAACTACAAGTTGGTGAGAAAACTGATGGAAACTAAGTGTGCAGACTTGAGAACCAAGAACAATAGAGGCCTCACAGCACTAGACATCTGCGAGGCCGACTGGAATCTTTCTTATAGACAGGTTTCATGTTAAATTTGAATTTGACTTTTTATTGTCTCTCACTTTCTTTATTGCTTTATTTTTTATAAAACTATTTGGGAGCAACCTGATATTGTCATTCTATTCAATGTACCATGTTGATGATAGAGTTCAATTTTCTATTTCACCTTCATAGATGGGCGATGGCTGAAATTTTTCCCTTCTTGATATTATTGCAGAATTCTCTCCATGCATTCCTGAGAGGGCAAAATGCACCCCGAGGTAGACAGCCCTATAATTATTGGAAGCGCAATCAAAAATCAAAGAACGCCTTAAACCACCCTAACGCAAACTTAAAAAATTTAGCGAACACAATGTCAGTGGTTGCTGCACTTCTTGCTACGTTAACTTTCGCTGCTGCTTTTACATTACCAGGGGGCTACCATGCTGGTGATAAAGAAATACAGAAATATTCAACAAATGATAAAAATAAAACCCTAGTAGGTTCTTCAATCCTCATAAAGAAACTATCACTTAAGGTATTTGTGTTGGCTGATTCAGTAGCAATGTGCTGCTCCATGACAGTGGTGTTTCTCCTAATTCTAGCAATGGTTGGTGACACTGCCTTTTTGCGGTCAGCAATTATATACAGCAGGAACTTGCTGAATATCGCCCTTTTGGGAACGTTGGTCACCTTTATAACTGGATTGTACACTGTAATATCACCACAGAGTAAATGGTTAGCCATCATTGTCATTATCATGGGCTCTAGTGTTCCATTTCTCATCAAATTTTTGCGCCGCAAGTCTTCCACTTCATCCCCTCTTGTTATAAAATATCTCAAGGGAACAATGATGAAACCCGTGATCTCCTACAGCCCTGGAAGAAGGCGTTCTAATCTTAATATTAGTTATGGATACACTCAAGCCAAGTCACCTCGCTGGACTAATTAATCTATTTGGCAAGACCATTCTGTTTTCTTCTTTTAATATCATGTGTATATTGTAATCTTAACACCCTTCTCTAAATTTTCTTTTAGGACCTTGTTTTCATAAGTGGTATTAGTTATATATTTGTAAAATATAATTTCGATTATTTAATTTTTTAATCATAAAATAAAGATTGAAGTTTCTATGTATAGCATCCTTATAACTTTTTAAGGAATATAGACATTGATAAAAGAAATTAAATATAGAGAAGACCAAGTCAAATAAATCAGTCAATTAGATCTTATGATTAGATCTTACAAAGAATTTTAATGTGATAGTTCACAATTAATCAACTTATAATAGATCTCATTTGCTCAATAATGAGTCTTGCTTGTCTAATTGTGAACTGATTAATTGTAAGTTGTTATATCAGAGTTATGAGAAAAAATTCATAAGATTGGATTGTGAAAAGACTATGAAAAATATAAGTTTCTCCTAATTAATAGTGAATATTATATTTCACATCCATCGAATCTCAAAGGGTGACACTCCACTCCATGTTGCAGCCAGGGCTGTCCACGCGTTGGTGTGGTGGAACTTCTTAACACGGTTGCACTCCAAGATAAAATAGAACCCATATCTGGTTTTATTCGTTATTACAAACAATAATATTATACTTACACAGAAATCTTACAAAGATTTTCATATAAAATGAGGTAGCAAAAATAAATGAAATAGTGAAATAAAAAGTCAAACTCATTAAATTCACTCTTCCATTTATTTTTTGCCACCTCACTTTGTATTGAGAACTTTGTAAAATTTCTTTGTAAGTGTAGTATTACTCTACTATAAAAGTACGCAAGTGGTTGTATCATGGATTACGTTCAAGAAACAAGTTTAGATTCTAAGTATAATCACATAAACTTGGATCATAAAGTTTGAAATAAAAATCTTAATAATTTCCAAAAATAAATAATATATTTATGTAAGATGGTGACCGTCAACCCTAACAAAACTCTCAATAAACAAGGAAATAAAATCAAAATTAATTTTTTTTTTTTTTTTAAAAAGAGAAACCTAAATAAAAATAAGAAAAAATGCGTATAAAACTTAAACAATCCCAAATGGATTTTGGGCCCAAAAATAACCCTCAATTGAGGTAACTCGTTACTACGTCATCGTCGAATTCGAAACAAACTTTCCGTTTATATAATATAGGCCTCATAAATCTTTCTGAATAAAAAGTTATAACTGTTTTAAGTTTGTCTATCTATGTTTAGGCTTCTGACGCTCGACCCCTTCAAGAATTCATCTCCTAAATGTTCTACGGTAACTTCTCATTGTTTCCCCTAGTACTCTAATTGTTCTTTTTGAGAAATTTGTTAGTTCTGTTAGGTCGAATAGTTAGTTTTCTTTAATGTTGAAGGGGACCATAACTGACACATGGTGGTAGTCCCAACTGGCACTCATCAAATCGTTTTCCACACCCAACTTTCATAACACCGGAAACAAAAATCTAAATGAATAAAAAGAAAACAATTAACTCATCCTTTCTGTCATTGTCATTTTACCATATTGGTATTAAAGGATTTGAGCTACAATGGAAAGTGACTCTTACAACGCTTGCTCCTCATTCTTTTTACGAAAGTGACGATCTGCCCTTTACTGCTTTAATTCCGAATGTGATGGAGTTAGAAACTGTAACAATCATCACTTTCACTTCAACTATAACTGTAAAATCTGTATAAAGAGTTGAAGTAGAGCAGGGAATTTGGCACAGAAAAGTTAACCATAAAATTTCTTTTGCCTTTGAATCCATTTTCTCTTTTCCAGAAAAAGCTAAGTTTGATACTTTTGACAATGAATCTATCTTAAGGCTTATTTCATAGGATAGTCAGTAACACAAAGTCATTAAACTGAGAAAACAATGTGATTGGCATCAGAAGACTTTTTCAACCCAAACAATGGTAATGCATTGAATAGAGAAAATGGTGTAATTGGCATCAGAAAACTTTTCCAAACCCAAACGAAGATAGTGCATTGAATAGAGAAAATTTTGCCTGCAGAATCATTAATAAATTTAGCGGAAATACAGATTTTGGTACGACTCAAGGACCTACGAAAATGGTAATCAGCAAGAAAAGATTCCCTAGCATCCAACTTGGTTAAAATTGTGTCGGTGAATCAATATGGAAATTTTATTGTTTTTATAAACTCTAGCAGATTTTATTTTTATTTTTTGCTTAAAGCAGTCATGCACTCTCTTTTACAAAAGAGGATAGGAGAGCAAATTGATCAGCAAGCAGTTTATGAAAAGGATGTTTAACAAACTATTTAATTCATGGAATAACTTTCAGCTGCCAATGTGCTGTTCTTAATGCAAAATGAACACACAGTAGATTACTAGAGTCCATCCTTTTACTTTCCTGTGAAACGTAGAGAGCAAATACCACTCACCTTGAACCTCAGTTTTCTTTCAGAAAGAGAAACGGAAATCTGAAAAGCTATGGATTGCATGCTGTACAAGGCTGCAAGAGAAGGAAACGTGGAGTTGTTGAAACAGTTTATCCAAAGTGATAATCCCAACAATCTCCTCTTGCATACAAATCAGGAGAACAATATAATTCACATAGCTGCAAAACTGGGTCATGAATCATTTATTCATGAGGCTCTCAAGACATCTCCCTTTCTTGCATGCCATAAAAACTCAAAGGGTGACACTCCCTTACATGTTGCAGCGAGAGCGGGCCATATTGCTGTGGTAAAACTTCTCATTAATGACAAAAGAAGTAGATGTATGTTTAGAGTTGATTCAATCGAAACCCCGGGTACAACTGTTTTGAGAGAAATGGAAGAGGGACAGAGTGGAATTCCGAGACTGTGGAGGATGAGAAATAAGGCTTAAAGCTTGGCTTTGCATGAGGCTTTGAGGAATGGACATGAGGAAGTTGCACTGTGTTTGTGGGAACTAGATAATGAAAATGAAAAGGCTGGAGTTGTAACAAGTGCAGGTGAGAGCCCTCTATATTTAGCTGCTGAATCAAGGTGCAAGGCAGTGTTGCTGAAGATTTTAAATTTCTTAAGATCAAATGCAGAGAGAATCGATCTATTGCGCGATGCCGTCCGAGGCCCTGATGGGCAGAATCCCTTGCATGCCGCCGTCCTTGCAGGAAGCACTGGTATGAATATCAAACTCTTTTTTCTTTAAAAACATCTTAATAATCTGTTTAGTTGCAAAGGATCACAACATCTTCAAATAAACAATTCCAAATCCAAGTAAAATGAATAACCCATATGGAAAAAATAGGTGAAAAGTCGAAAGTAAAAGAATTCAATGTTTCCGTTCATCTAAGATTAACAACTGGTCAACAAATAAGTTATTCCAATTTGTGAAGTGTGAAGGATATTTATATAGCCTTAAAAAACCCAAAAGACAAGCACAATTTGAATCCAATTTGAACAATCTGACTTGCATATGTTCTCTCTCTATTGGCATGCCATAGATTGCATTGGTTATCTGCTAGAAGATGAAGATATCTTGAAACTCATTAATCAACCAGACATAAGTGGAAAGACTGCCCTTCACTTTGCAACAGCAGCCAGAGAGACAAATATTATGTTGGTTTTTAGAGCTGGAGTATACTAAGAAAAGAGGACCAAAAACTGACGTGAGAGAGAGCTGTAGAGAAAGAAAATCTGAACTGAAATTTACTCTGTTTTTCATTCAAAAAACAGGGGTAGATTTATACATTAAGTTTAATCATAAAATAAAGATTGAAGTTTCTATGTATAGCACTATAACTTTTTAAGGAATATAGACATTGATAAAAGAAATTAAATATAGAGAGACCAAGTCAAATAATCAGTCAATTAGATCTTATGATTAGATCTTACAAGAATTTTAATGTGATAGTTCACAATTAATCAACTTATAATAGATCTCATTTGCTCAATAATGAGTCTTGCTTGTCTAATTGTGAACTGATTAATTGTAAGTTGTTATATCAGAGTTATGAGAAAAATTCATAAGATTGGATTGTGAAAAGACTATGAAAAATATAAGTTTCTCCTAATTAATAGTGAATATTATATTTCACATCCATCGAATCTCAAAGGGTGACACTCCACTCCATGTTGCAGCCAGGGCTGTCCACGCGTGGTGTGGTGGAACTTCTTAACACGGTTGCACTCCAAGATAAAATAGAACCCATATCTGGTTTTATTCGTTATTACAAACAATAATATTATACTTACACAGAAATCTTACAAAGATTTTCATATAAAATGAGGTAGCAAAAATAAATGAAATAGTGAAATAAAAGTCAAACTCATTAATACACTCTTCATTTATTTTTTGCCACCTCACTTTGTATTGAGAACTTTGTAAAATTTCTTTGTAGTGTAGTATTACTCTACTATAAAAGTACGCAATGGTTGTATCATGGATTACGTTCAAGAAACAAGTTTAGATTCTAAGTATAATCACATAAACTTGGATCATAAAGTTTGAAATAAAAATCTTAATAATTTCCAAAAATAATAATATATTTATGTAAGATGGTGACCGTCAACCCTAACAAAACTCTCAATAAACAAGGAAATAAAATCAAAATTAATTTTTTTTTTTTTTTTTAAAAGAGAAACCTAAATAAAATAAGAAAAATGCGTATAAAACTTAACAATCCCAAATGGATTTTGGGCCCAAAAATAACCCTCAATTGAGGTAACTCGTTACTACGTCATCGTCGAATTCGAAACAAACTTTCCGTTTATATAATATAGGCCTCATAAATCTTTCTGATAAAAAGTTATAAGTAGACAGCCCTATAATTATTGGAAGCGCAATCAAAAATCAAAGATCGCATTAAAACACCCTGACGCAGACTTAAAAAATTTAGCGAACACAATGTCAGTGGTTGCTGCACTTCTTGCTACGTTAACTTTCGCTGCTGCTTTTACATTACCAGGGGGCTACCATGCTGATGATAAAGAAATACAGCAATATTCAACAAATGATAAAAATA